ACGACTACTACGACTACTACTACGACTACTACTACTACTACTACTACTACTACTACTACGACAACTACTACTACTACCACTACTACTACTACTACTACTACTACTACTACGACTACTACTACGACAACTACTACTACTACTACGACTACTACTACTACTACTACTACTACTACTACTACTACTCCTACATCGACAATCGCTCTCTCGGCTTTGCGAGCTGTCTTATAGCAGCGTCTGGCACCGCCACCACCATCGCCGCCGCCACGCTGCACATATTCGGACGTCATGCGAGGACGACAAGTGACTAGTGACTAGTGACAGTGATACTTAGCGGCAGAATTGATATCCCCCCTCGAAGACTTCATCTCTAGCATCTAGAAATCAACGTTCCAGTCCGTACGTCAATGGAATCAACCACCGTCAACGAACTCCAGCCCCCAAGCCGGATCCGGTGCCTTGCACTGCGAGGTTTGTGGCGGCCGCCTCTGCAGCTGCATCTCGGTCTGCGTCCGAGACCTCGGAACTGGAGGGCCGTCTGTTTCATGCAGCTTCAAGGTTTAAGGCTTCCTAGGGCTTATGTCGGTGCCTGGGGGTCTAGTTGCTTTACGCCTTCTCCACTCGTGCGATCGTTGCTGCAATATCGACACCGTTACAAACATCCCGATGCCCAAAGCGCAAAGCATTGACCCCAGAACGGAAACCTCGAGGCGCTCAAAGACACAAAAAACTCAACACCATTGACTTCCCAACCTCCCTCGAAGGACGCGCGATGTATCTTGTGCAGTTGGCTGCATGGCACGCTCTACAGACCTTGATCGTGCAAGACTGGGGGACACATACACGGCATCGTTGCCTGTCTCGCATATTCGCATCTACCCTGAACTATGCAATACGGCCTCTGTAGTTACTGTAGTGCATGAGCCGATACAGTACCGATACGCTCATCCATATCTGCCGCCTCAGTCTCTTTGTCTCTTTCTGTATCACTGTCTCTGTGCCTCTGCCTGTATGCATCCATTTATCTACCTCTCTATCTTCGTACCCAACGTAACGAACAAGTAACTACCTACCTACCTGCCTGCCTGCCTGCCTACCTAGCTAGCTAGCTAGCCAGCCGACTAACTAGCTACCCAACCAACTAACTTACTAACAGACTGGCCGACCAACTAACCGACTAGCTGGCCAACTAACTAACTAATCAACCAGCTAGCCACTAACAACTGACCAACCAAGCATCTGCCTATCTATCTATCTGCCTACCTGCCTATCTAGTCTGGCTATCTGCCTGTCTATCTTTCTATCTAACGGATGGATGGATGGATGGTTGGATGGGACCGCCTACAGGGCACTGTGGCCAAAGGGAGACTTCCCCGCCGCCTTCTCCGGGAACCTCCGTAAACGTCATCGGTTATCTATCTATCTAAGTTTTGGTTATGTCATTTGTTAGTTTAATACGGTTGGCAAGGGATCAACTTGGTTTCTCGGGTGCTTCGCTCTGGCAGGCCAGATGGCTCGCCCTCATGCATGGACTTTTACGCACTAGCAGTGTAAACCGATAACCCCGGGTTCTCCATGTACACACATGTATATATGTATTTTGTTTTGCTTGGCGCAATCTTTCCACATGCCATCTCAATCGTTTTGCCAAAGGTGCATCGTAGAAGCGTGCCACACGCGTTGAAAGCTCGCTCGGCATGGCTTGTGGCTAGGCATCAGAAAGAGCGCTGTTCTGAAGCTTTCTCGGGATCAGGTGCCCGTTGATGGCTTCGGGCTTGGGTTCTAGGTCGGGTTTGGGCTGGCTGAGGTTCGGCTTCGGGTGCTGGAAAGTTTGCACAAGAGGCTGTGGATGCAGTACGACTACTTGGCAGATCTTGGAACAAATATGCAGAGCAGATATGACCTCATACTCTCATCCGCCGCATGTTCTGTGCAAGCGGCGCCTGAGAGCAAACAGGTTCGCGAGCCACGCTCCTTGATTTGGTTCTCGGGTTGCTTGGGTGATCTAGTGGGTTCATGGTTTCGTGCAAGCATCAGAGCCTGAACCATATCTGATCATTCGAGGCTTCCTGCTGGCGCTACACAGGAAGCTTCCATATACCTCAATCCTGCAAACACATGCCTACAATGCTGTCCCCTGCGGAAGAATGCAGGAAACTACTGGCTAGGAAGGGCGCTTGAACTCGACGACCCGACCGACATGTTGGGGAGGTCTCTTCATGAAAAACTGCAGCCACGACAATGAATCATCCGAAACCCTGTCACATCAGATCACATGTCGATAAGTAAAGAACAATAGGTTTTGACCATCGAATTAGAGCGTACAACCCTTTGCATATTCCGTAGCCAAGCACAGGCAAGCTCCTCAAAGCCTCAACCGTAATCTCAAGATCCTGAGCCTCCGACGATGTCCCGAATGATACAGGGCTTTATACTGGTTTTAGACGGTGCTGCAGAGTTTCCAGATGGATTTTAAGGAGGTTTTCTGGTGGTTGAGACACAAAAAGAGCCTCTTCGACGACCTGCGGCACCGGAACATCCACGGTGACCTCAACCTTTCGGAGTAGCTCATCATGCAGGCATGTCGAAATCTACGGACTGCAGATGGGTTGCTTGAAATCTACAACCAATCCCGCACGAGCTTTGATTGGTCGAACGATGTGTGCGAACATATAGAACGGGCATAAAGCGGACAAGTGCAATCTGCCTGAGACGATGAAGCGAAGCTCAAAAGCAAACCAGCAAGGCTCGATGAAGACGTGCACGTTCCGAGGACGCAGGCAAGATGCATTACCCTCGTCGTGAGGGCCCCATGCAGTCCTCCGAAATAACCCTCCCCCGCGCCTGTCGCTGCTGCACGCGCTCCTCCTTCAGGATCCTGAGGCCAGGGCGAGCATAGTGAGGTTCGGGACGGGCGTAATCGAGACACAGAGAAGCTCTGAAGCGCCTGAGGCCCTGCGCTGCATCCGAATCTCTGCATGTCTTCAAAGCCATGCTGTGGCATAAAACGGGCCGGCCTGGGGACCTTAACGATCTCCTCAACGAGCTGTTCGTAAGGAACCGGGACGACCTCTCGTCAGTGAGTTTGGAGCTTCAGGTTTGTGTTTGCCGGGAACATGAAGCTTACAGGTGCTGACACCACACAGTCGACCGGCGTCATAGAACAGAAGATGCCTAACTGTTCTCTCCAGAGCACGTGGTGAAGAAACTGGTGCTGTGACACAGTGAAATACGATCAGACCATCTGCCTTTCCATCTCCATCTGTCTCCGTACATTTACAATACGCATATCTGTATGCATACGTACATACATACATCCATACACACGTACATGCATCCATACAATACACACATATGAATTCAAATATATATATATATATACACATACGTACCTCACTCACTCACTCACTGATACGCAGCTCCATAAGGCGCTGAGCGTTGCTCAACTGCAGGAAAGGATTGCAGCCATCTGATATCAGAGGCTGAGCAGGGCTGCACAAAAGATTGGAAAATTTTCGAAGGCATATGTACCTGGATTTCTATAAACCATATATGTGTGCGTGTTGTCTGGCGTTGTTCCTTGCCGAATTACTAGTTTGTTTACTTGCGTAATCTTGCGTACCGTGTACTCGTCTGTATCAGCCTACTGCATTGGCCGCATCCCAGCCTGCCAGAGCAAACGCGAACCCTCTTGCCTTGGAAACCTCCTCGATTTTCTCCACATGGTGAATGTCGGGGATGTCAATGTACTGAATCTGCAGCAGAGTGCGAGATTTGGGATGACGGGTCAAGCTACAGCTACACCTGTGCCATCGTCTGCCTGCGGTGTTACAATTCGAGCCTGAATCCCTCAATCTCCGCAGCTGCAAACCCTGCATGAATCCCTAGGCTTGAAGTCCCGAATCCCCAGAAAACCCTGTTACCAAGGGTCAAAAGACCCTCAAAGGGAGCGAACACCTCCTCTGTGATGATGGGGATGTCCATGAACTCCTGCTTGAGTTCCTCCTCCACCAAGGTTTCCTGCTGTGTGCTTTCGCTTTTTCCCTGGACCTTAACCAGCCTGATGAAACCTCCGATCTTTTGAAGCAGCCCTTTCGAGCTCGGCTAAACAGAACACCTGATGCTGGTGGGACTTACGAACATGAATGCGTTCCCCACTAGCTTGCCGAAGTTAAAGGACCCTCCTGGACACACGTGTCCTTGCAAGTTAGCAAAACATAGCAAAACGAGGCCGCTGCGAAATTGACACGCAGCTCTGATTTCAAGCCTATGAAATTCCGCCAGAGCGGCCCCACGTTGCTGGATGATCTGAGGCGGCCTGGGCAGCCGCAACGGCGCCGCAAGTCTTGCAAAGAAGCTTCGCGCGAAAAGGACTCGCACAATCCGGGCTGTACGGTTCTCACAGCATTGGCCAAAAACGGACATTGAGACATGACGTGGGAAACAAACGGAAACCCTGAAAGCGGAAGTGCCGGAACACTCGGAAACCTGGAATCCCCTTCCCGAAATCCTGAGACCCGAGGTCCCTCAAGCCCAAAAACACCGGGTCCCGGGCGCATTGAGATGCTCGACCTTCCGGTCCAAGATAGTGGCCTCGGCCACCTGATCATGCTCTCCCATCACATGCCTCTGACGCACATCTCAGATTTAAGAGTTGCTGAACCAAGCAGGCTCGACCGTTTAACCTTCTCCCAAGGATAAGGGTAGAGTTCGTACAGCATGGTGTTAAGTCAGAAATCTTCTGCCACGAACCCCCAAACACCAAGCAGAGACGGGGGTGGAATGGTCATTGCATCACTTTGAGTTGTTCAAGGCGAATGTTCCCGGCACACATGTGGTGTTGTGCCATTCTGCGATTTAGATTGCAACTATCACGAGATCTTCTGTTGCTATGCCTTTAGTGCTTGGGGTTCGAACAATGAGTTCAAAGAGGAACCAACTGTTGAAAATATAATGGGAGCAAAGACTATTACAGTCAGAACCGGTATGGGGAGAAGGGACAAAGAAAGGAAGGCAGCAACAGCAAAAGCAAGCTAACTGTAACGGCAACATCAGCATTCACAGCGCGAACGGCTACACTCTGACACTGTAGTGCGCTTAGGCTTCACACCGACCTGAAACCCTTCAGATGTAGATTCCTGAAAATTAGATTGGGGTTTTACAAACTTCGGCTCATTTTCGGAGCTGCGGGCCGCTGCAAGCGGAGGTGATCCCTATTACAAGCAATGTCCTTCCCTCTTGCCATCCTCTACCGTCGAATTTCTCGCGCCGCGGAGCGAGGCCTCCTTGCGGACCGTAGAGGCCTGCGTCTGAAAAGAGCCATAAAGCATTCAAAGTTGATCAAGAGGACTCAATTCGCGTTTAGAAAGAGGAGCTCCGAGATTTGCTCGCGTTTCTTTGGGTGGGTTAGACTCACTGCGATGGTCTTGGGATCCGGAGCTCGGCCTCGGGGACTGAACACTTACGATGCAGGGACCTCGAGATCCTCAGGCAAATTCTGGATTCCACGTGAAATACCTGCTTGGGCCAGAGTGTCTCGACATCCCTCTGGTGAAAAAACTCGGCATGCCTCCTGAAGTCTAGCCAGAGCCAACTAACAAAAGTCATAAGAGTTTATGTTCTAATCAGCACATCGTGACCGACAAAGAGTCATAAGAGTTTATGCTCTAATCAGCATATCGTGACCGACAGCGTCTACTGTAAAGCATACCCAATCTCCCGAAATTATGACCATCATCCCACAAAGTGCAGTCATCCAAAAGAACAGCCTGAGGCGAGGCGACAGGCTGGGACCTGAGGGAGATCGCACGAATCATGTTTTGGAGCCTGCAGGGCTCCACATGCACATGCGAAGGATTGCGAAGGCTCCGACCTTAAACACTGCCGTGCAAGCCGGTTCTGGCAACCAAAAACGGACGTCTAACGTCGAGAAATCCACAAATCTCAGCAGTGTCAGCGCCACTTCGGCTTCTCACAGGCGTGTATCAAAAGTTAAGGGGACACAGTGTGCCCTCGAGTCGACGCATGATGCAAGATGCACAACAAAAAGCATATGTGCTTGACCTACCTCCCTTCCTACCTGCCCACCTACTTGACTGTGTTCCTACCTGCCTGCCAGCCTGCCTGCCTGCTCACCTTTAGAGCTGCCTACCTACTTAGCCACCGACACCGCTACATGCGGGCGTATACATGCATGTCTGCCCCTACATGTGCGCAAATGTGCACGCATGCACTATGCCTACATACATACATACATACATACATACATACATACATACATCCATGTAGGCAGGCAGGCAGGCAGACAGACAGACAGACGGACATACATACGCATATATATATATATATATGTGCTATATATACACACAATGTACATCATGTCTGTGCTGTACTGCCCATACGCACATGAATGCATGTACACACAGACAACACGGTTGGCAGCAGCAGCAGCAGCAGCAGCAACAGGAATGAGTAGCATTATGAACCGTGGTGACGGCATGAAGACGAACACTCGAGTCACAGTAATACTCTTGATCAGAAAGCTGCAGGCAGCCTTAGTCACGACATCAAAGAAAGGTTGTGAATGATGACACTCAGTGGCTTCTCCAACTGTGGGTGTAAGGCTCAAGGTTCCAGAAATCGAGAACCGAGGACTACAGCACAGCGCACGAGGCCCCAAACGTTGAGTATCTCAGGAATCGATATCCGGACGGACTCCGACCAGGGCCCCGCACCCGGACACGATGGCAGAAGGCTGCCTTGGGACTGGGGAGTAATTCCCTATCCCTATATAGGTACTTTGGGGCCAATGTTCTACTATTTGGGTACATGGACCCTTAGGGATTAGTTTTAATAGACGTTTCGGTGTAATTTTGCACCCGGCACTGGGGACTTGGACCTTGGAGTTCTGTCTAACCTCCCAACCATGAGCCCGAGGTCGGAGCCTGCCTTCGTCTTGGATGTTGGAGATTGGCTTACGGGTCGAGACCTAGGTAGAGAAGAGGAGCCTGGTGGGCAAAGGACTACGGGCCTTCGAGGCTCTTAACGTTGGCTTGCGTCCTGCACAAATCCCGTGCAGTAGTAGGAGCAGGAGCAGCAGGTAGCAGTGGAAACAGGAATGTGTCTCCGCCGAAGTCGTATCCCCAGTACGGCTTGCATCTTCATGGGCCTTGTTTCCATGTTTGCCCATCCTGAAACCCTTGCCCTTCCTGTCTTCGCTGCCTCGTTCACCACAACTCTACAGCTCGAACTCAAGCCCTAAAGCCAGTTTCTTCCAGAGGGCACGGAAACAGCAGACGTAGGTGTAGCGCCTTGCTCCTGGCATGCCAGGTTTACGAAATAGAGAATCTCCGATGTCGGAATTATCGGGAGTTTTGCTCGTAGTCCAAAGTGATGTGGCTCATGGTCTTAGCTTCCCCGTTCTTCACTTTGAGCTCACATTTTGTTCCAAGATGATCTTACGAGATGCATCTGGACTGCTGGGTCCGCAGAACCTGCTCTGATATTGGAAAGCTTGGACTTCAGAGTGTTTCTGGCAAGGTGCACTCGCATGCCCTGGACAAAGACCACGAAAACCGTTTCGCAGCACGTCTCCACAGGAACGAACCTCTGCTAGTTCGATACAGCAAAGCATCACGGCAAAGATTTTCAAAAATGGACGGCACCCGAATGTTCGATGACATGTTGGATCAGTGCAGCTGTCAAAACGGATTTCGGGAGCAAAAGGTGTAGCATGAAGGTTGTGTGAGCAACTTCTCGGTGCAAAGCTTACGACTTTTCGAAATGCTAACAGACCTCAACACGAGATGGCCGAGCAAAGGAATCGGCCACCTGCTTCGGCGAAGCATCTGGCGTAACCCCCAACCTGAAGTTGCAGCGGTCGCAGTAACACAGTATGCCTCTGGCTCTCACAGCAAGATACAACCCAGCTGCACATCATGAGAATACGGCCGCGATACTTTGCGTCTTCACAGGCCATGGTCTCAAGCTCAAGACCACAAACATGATCTACGGGGCCGGCCCGATGTAAAATCGTGAAAGGGTCCGACCACCATGCAGACGCAACCCGACACACGCAACCTCCGACGTCTCTCAGACGCTCGTTCATCGTGGCTCACGAAGTCCCGAAACTACGAAGAACCTGCTCTGCTCCCAACCCTCAAAGCCCTGTTCCTAGACACACCCGGCACCTGCTGTGCTCCCTACTCGGCAGAGCTGCCTCAGCGAAGCAACGAGCAAAGGCGGGAAATTCAGGACGGCTTCGAAGCCGATGCTTTTGCCCCGTTGTGTACAGGTCTGTGCTTGGTCGCGTTGCAGAAACCTCTTCAGCATTCCAGGAATGTTCGGGCTGCGCATTTACAAGTATTTACAAGGGGCCTGGACTCTTGCTTCAAGGCTGGTAAAGATCGGGGCAACTTTAAAAGGGAGCTTGGCAACAAAGCTTTGACGAACCAGTACCTCAGGGTGCCCGAGCATTCAAAGCCACGCTGGGTCGCTCGAGTGACATCCGGGGCGAAATGACCTGGGCTCCCGGGCCATAGAACTAGAAGCATTCCTTTTTGTTGATGCTCTTCTTCCAGCTGTATAGGTCTTGCTGCCAGGTTTCGAACAAGATCCGCAGGCGGAGGAGGGCTCGAAAAACTTGAGCGGATCCTAGTCCTAACGGGTCCCCAAAGGCACCACACCTGGAACCTGTGGGTTTCATGATCCCTTACAAGGAGTCTGAGTGCAGGTCCGCTTTAGAGCGGTGTCAAGGTTCCGAACCGCCCAAAGATGTCCTAACACCCACAGAGTTCAAGCCGCGTACCGGTCCAACTCTCGCATCTTCCTGTTTTGCCCCCTGTGGCAGCAGGACTTGGACGAGTTCAGGCATTCTATCATGTTTTGCTTCAAGAAGCCTCGTGGCAATGGTCGTGGTGGTCGTGGTGGTCGCTGATTTGCATCTTCAGATGAACTCATATAGAGAACTTGGAAGCGAGATCCTGATACGACGACGCAAGCGACAGTGAAGACACAACAAGCCTGGATAAACCCTCAATCCTAGAGCCTTGACCCGAGTCGCAAGCTGCAACTGCACTGGACAAGACTGCTAGGTGGAGCTGTTCATGTTGGATGGGATCTAGGGCGAACCCCAAGTGAATCATTCCCCTTCCCAGAAAAGCAAAGACGATCACCTGATCCCAACCAGTCGCTCGAATGCCCTGGGCCTCCCCAGCATGGCTGCCAGGGTCGACGGAGCTGCAGCCAGGGCTTAAAGCAAGAGGCTTGCCAACTGCGGAAGTTGAGGTCGCGAAACCTCATCCTAGAGGCACACAAACCCCAGATCTGACTCGAACTCCCTGCTCCGACCCCGCGCACCTTGCCATGGCATGCTAGGGCACATCGGCCAACTTCAACATGAGGCTTGAACAGGATTGGGTTCGTGGTGTTGGCTTTACCATTTCGGCTCTGGGGCTTGTGTGTGTTGGGCTTCTTGGGGGAACGGGGTTGCGATGCCTGCGTAGTATCCTGGCTGGCAGCTGTTTTCCAGCACTTGTGATGAGTGGCTGGCACTACTTTGCCCTTCCACAATGCTCACGGGGGCATGTCACGTACTCACCAGTTGGACAAATTCTCCGTCTCGCATATCTTGCATCAACTTGGGCTCAAATCGCAGCTCACAGACACAGATCACTCTCAGAAGATCTTCGCGTCCACTTAAGCAACCGGCCCGGCTTTCCTGCACATCACGTTTCCCAGGCATGATCCTGAGCTGCACCCCCCTCACGATTTTTCTCCTGTAGGCCAGGTGGCTCGAAGAGACAGCCTGGGCCTTGAATGCCTAGCTACTGAAGGTCGCGGCCTTTGGCCACAGTTTGCAGGGCCTCGTTGAGAACAGCATCCACGGAGTCCCCGTCCGTCTTGCTCAAAATCTCCTTGGCCTCCCCCAAAATCCGTTGGGCTGCTCGCCGCTGCCCACGCAGCAGGTTGCAGCTATCCGGCAGTGTCAAGCGGAAGCGGTAATTGCTGGGGATGAAATCCAAGGTCTCTTCACGACCTTCCAGAAAGACAACTCTTCCGGATGCCGCGGCTTGCTGCAGCGCCTGCTGAGCGAAGGCCACAACCTGCGCTTGAGTTGACTTGGCCACCACGGGCAGGAGTCGCGACACGGGAGGGTCCTTTAGAATGGTGTCCTTGATTTCAGAGACGAGCTTGTCGAAGCCGAGGCCCTTGATGCGAACGTCGATGGTGTCCGATCCCTCCTCGAGAACGACCTGTAACATACCGACCCAAGCCTCCAAGTTCTGCGGCGTCAAACACTCCGGCTCAAAGTCCTTCCCTTGTTGCTCGCAGTGTGTGACGGCCAGCAAGGTCAAGGCTCGAAAGCAATTGCCGTTGGACCTCGACTGAGGCGGAACGAGCCAAGCTCCTCCCTTGAGAGCGACGTGGGAAGGAACCAGAATCCTAATCTTCAAAAAACCCTGCCACATCCCCGACCAAGGAGCCAGGGAATCGCCTCGGGAAGCTTTTGCTGAAGCTTCTTGAAGGTGGCCTCCTTCCCGGTGCCGCTCTTCCCGACGAGGATCACCTTGCATCGAACGCTGTGCTGTGCAAGTTTGGCTTTTGTTGAATATTCGTTTCCCAGGCGTTTCGACTTGTATGTTGATCAGCATGCGTGCGATACCAAGCCAAATTAAGGATTTCTAAACGTCCTAGTGATAGCGCCCAGGTACGACGAAACCCTCAGTCGCAGATGGCAGCTGTGTCGCCATGTAGTGCGCACGCTCATTCGCCTCCATCTTCGTGACGTCTATGTCTTCGTAGACCGGCTTCAGGCCGGGAGCTACCAATGCACCCTCGTCGATTCCTTTTTGAATGCCGGCCTTCAGCAGCTCCGCATCCTGATCATCACGCTTAATGAGCAAGTCTTCCTCAAAAATCGCCAGCTTCTCAAAGAGGTCGTCGTCGGATAGACGATCAATGATGGCATCTGTGATTCTGAAATCCGTTGAGGTGGCTAATGTGCTCAGCGTCAGCCTCTCCTTTTCTGTGATGAAACTCCGCAGATACATTCGCGATCTCCGCGGCAAGCTCCGCTGACTGCGACATAGCGCCTGCCTTCCAGAGAGTCGGCCAGCTGCAGCCAGGACACCCACACAGGGCATCGGAGCCCACGGCGAAGCAGATTTCATCCATGCAGTTGATTTCCGCGACCCACCTGGGCCTGTGTGAGCGGCCCCGCGTGCGCCCACGACAGGCTTGCCAGCCGGCAGCATGGCAAAAGATGAGTGCAGCCACAGCCTACTCCAACACCACTGCTAGAAGGTCGAAGACGTGACCTGTGCTGAAAGGATCTCTACTTTCACTGCTTCAGTTGAGGGCTCGTACATTCCCGACGCCAGGATGCGCTGAATGCAGGGACTCGAGACAAGTCAAGCCGCGAGTCATTCGGAATTTTAGTTGCAAATCCTGTGCTGAAGTCCCCATCTTGGTTTCTGGGCAAAGCAAAGGCTCTAGAGAGGTACCGCAACGGCTGCAGGCAAAGCCGCACTTTTTTCAGCAAGGCGGGTAAAGGTACCTGACCACTGACCGACTTTTGGCTTTTCCGCTCACCTCGTGATGTCGAAGCTCCATCCCGCCGGTTGAGCGCTGTCTGCAGGACCACCCGGACCCCCTGGCAACTCGTAGACCACGAAGCGCTCCCAGGTGGCGGTCTCCGGCATGACCTGGATTGGATAATGGGAGACGCTAATGCCAGCAGCCCCCGGCTGGTCAGTCATGGCCAAGAAATGAACTGACGCCGGGTTGTGCAAGCCGATCCTGGGTCCAGTTGCCATAAGAGGGATCTAGAGAAAAAATACCAAATATTCCCTATCAAGGTGACTTAAATTACAGCTCCCTAACGAGAACCTAGGGTCGTGTTATCGGCGGTGGGCACGACTTGGAACTTGTACTCTGGCGGGATGCTGGTGAGCTGCCTAGGATAGATGGGGCCGCTGGCCCGAGCGTCTCCATTTTGGATCATCACGAAGGCCTTGAAGGTGGGGTTCCACAAGGCAACCTCGCCGTTGTCGGCATCCACCACCAAGAACTTCTCCCAATCGGTTTGAAAAGCCAAGTCTGGCATCTGGTTAGCATGCACGATATTTCCACCCTTGTCGAGGTCTGCGTGGTTCAGGCGCAGCCAGTGCTTGTGGATCGAGCACCAGAGTCCCACCGTCGTGCCAACCCTCAGCCGCGGTTTCAGCACCTCCGCCCGGAACTGCTGATGGGTCCACCCTTCATGGAGGACATCGGACGGGTTGGTCACATAGGTGTCGTGCTGAGCCCCAGAGGAAACGAAGCGCTTGGTCGCGGGGTTCTGCAAGCCGAAGAGGCCTGACCCGCCACCCAAATTCACCGCAAGGAAGGTCTGGGCTTCCCAGCCTCCGCCGGGATGAAAGTCCTTGGGGGCAGCGTACCTGAGCCACATCCCCGTTTCTGCGAGGCTCATGAAGGCGTTGTACCTGGGATGGTGAAGTGCGATCTTGCCCTCGCCCGCGTCCAAAACAGTCCAGCGCTCCAGCTGCCAATGTGCCGGAAGGCCCGCGTCGAAGTTGTGAGTCGGACCTGTGCCAACAACACCTGCGCTGTTGGCGGTCAGGTACCTCTGGAAGAAGATGTTCCAGAGAGCCACGGTCGTACCGGGCTTCAAAACGACGGGCGGCGGCATGTCGTGAGTGAAGGCGTTGAGAGCGTCAAGGGCATTGGACCTGCTGGCGATGGAAATGAACGGGAGCGCGTAAAGTACCACCTCGAACTGGTGTGTGATGTCCACCAGCTTGATCGACTTTTGGTGCGATGTGAAGGGTCCGAAGCCCATCTTCGTGTTCATCTCCAGGTATTTCCCGTCCATAACGGCCTGGAACTCGAAGTTCACGTTCCCGTCGTGCTTGAAGTTGAAGAGCTGGAAGACCTTTCGACATGCTAAACCCCTCGCCCCACACCCAACAAAGCAGCTGAAGTTGACAACTGCAAAAGTCGCGACATCTCTCGTGAAACGCATCCTGACATGTTATGACCTGGACCCTGCAAAAGGCTCTGCCGAGAGGCTCCTTGGGCTTCCGTGGCTGCCAGGCTCAGGCGCTTTTTGGCCTCCGCCCCATGCAGTTCCTGGACTTGGGAACAGCACGAAACAAAAAAAGAGCACGCGGGAAGCTCTCGGCACAACGCGGGGAGGATTTTTGGCCCAGGAGCGGAGGTCAAGTTCACCCCGAGCTCTGGGGAGTAGCTGGCGGAGGCCAGGTAGGTGCCCTCCTCGTCTTCCACCCACTCGAAGACTCCTTGCTCCCCGTCGTCTTGGGCTTTGCCCTTGGCGGCCTTGGCGGCCTTGGCGTGCGACTGGTTGTGGGCCTGACCGGCCCCCGTCTGCATCAGATTCGTTCGGCTTATCGCCGACCGGGGATTGGTTTCCTGCTCCCAGTTCGCCATGGTACGGTGCAAGTGGCCATGGTGGTCCAGGAAGTCTGTGGGGTCCCTGTAGCGCTTGGCCAAGCGCAGCGTCTTGGAAAAGAGCAGCACGCCGCTGGTTGAGATCTTCATTCGCAGCATGCTCAGGTCCTGGCCGTCGGGACGCTCCTTGGGCCAGCAGACAGTCGCCTCCACAGAAACCAATGGCTTGGGCATCACTTCAATCTGCACCCCGGCCACAAAGGCAACAACCGGCTGCACGTTGACACCGTAGGCCACCGTCACGCACTGCTCGATGTTCAACTCCCCTGTGTAGAAGGAGTAGCCTCCCAAGACCGCGTGGTGCCCCCACCCCGGCAAAGCCCATGCCTAGCAGAGCCCCGCCCCTCTCATTCCGCCCTAGCGACTGCAGCACACTTCGCACCTTGCCATTTGCTCTCGTGTTCCTTCATCCAGTCGGTGCCGCAGGGCACGGCCCAGGGTTCCAGTTGCACGAAGTCATTCGGATCGGTGACCTGACGCCGATAAAAACCCAAGCCCCAAGCCGTGCACCCGGAGACTATGGACTGGCACCCCAAAGCGCCTGCCAGTCTGCTTCGCTCACCTGGCCCGCTTGCTGCCGACTCTTTGGGGCAAAGGCCAGGCAGGAGCTCGTGTCCTTTTCGTAGCCGTGGAACCTTGGATTTAGAGGGGGTCCGGTTCAGGGTTTAGGGATGTTTAGGGTACCTCTTTGCTTTCTGTGCTTGCTGTCCCAAAGAGGCTTCCGTGTGCCGAGGAGAAGCTGGGTGATCAGCTTGGACTGATAGTTGGACCCCTCGTCGTGCAGAGTGAAGGAGATGCCATCTTTCGGTGGGTCCCCCTCCATCTGCAGGGTCGAGAACTTCCCCTGCTTCTGCGTATGCTTCGTGATCACCAGGCTTTGATCCGAATGATGTACCGCAGCCGGGGATCCCATGGCGGGGAACTTCGAGAGGGCCGCCTCCTGGATCAAGGAGCTGCTGCCCTTCAGGACCTGCCTGGCCACCGTGCCCGCAATCTTTGCGAAGCCCTGCCAAGGCAAGCAGAGATCGGGAAAGCTTGGGGACTGACGACTAAGGGGCTTCGGGACTTGTGTCATCTCGCGGCTGATGTCTTCATGCTCGCTCATGGTCTCTCAGCAGCGCCGATGGAATGCTGGCAGCCCAAAAAGCCTCAGAAAGCGGACCAAGCCTCCAGGAACTCGGACAGGATGTCACCCATCTGGTTCAGGAAGCTGAAGGGAGGGGTGTTGGCGATGACCAAATTGCCGAGGCACTCCACAAGCCCGTTCCCGGTCTGCTGGGAGCAGGCTGTCAGCTCCTCGCCCAAGTTGACCGTGGACTTCAGCGGTGGCAGCCCATCGACGATCTTGTCGCCGAGGC